CTACTGAACTAACTAGTCAGCCCCTAACTAAATATTTTTTAATAGTAATATTCTGAAATATTTTCTGGCATTTCTGCTATTTCATTATCTTCACTTTCAGTTCTTGAGGTACTCTAGAGGCTTGTCTTATTCCAAATCCTTTTGTGTTTCTTTGATATTTTGCACATCTGTTAAGATGGGTGTATCCTCCAGTTTCATTTCTTTTCTCTATTATTCTTTATTGTTTTGCTTATGATACCCACCACTATTCAGCATGGGGAAGCAGATAATATTATCACAATTATTTAACAACAATTTCAATATTTAAATGTAATAAAACATTTGTGTAGTTCACTTATATAACCAGTATGAATCAAAAGTAGAGAAGCCAGGATACTTCTAAGATATATGTAGTTTTAAGACTTTTTAAAGTAAAGGGTTTTTGTAGTAAGAATTTTGGAAGTTTGTTTTCTTTTAAAAACATAGAAATATTATATGTTTTTGTTTTAATCCCAGATGTGGGATATGGGGCTGCTTTGCCACAGGTGACTATGATTTGTCTCATGCTCTAGCAGGGGTATGGTTTTGCTAGCTGCAGATAGTTTCTGTAATTGTGTGATGTTTGGAAGTGTGGGAACTTTTCAGAGGGTATATAAATGCTAGGGCTCCGGAGAGTGGTTGTTGGTTGTTCAAGGGGATTGTTTGCAGCTTGTTAGTAGCTGTGGTCAAAGAAGAAACAAAAAGAAGAAGAAAGAAATTAGATCAGATCTCTCTCTTTCTCTCTTTCTCTCTCTCTCTCTCTCTCTCCCTCTCTCTCTCTCTCTCTCTCTCTCTCTCTCTCTCTCTCTCTCTCTCCACTCTCTCTGCTCTCTCCTTTCTCTCCTATCTACTGATAGGATGTGAAACTGGGGTCTGGGGGGTGAGATAAAGGGTGGGAAAAAGAACCCACAAAGTAGTAAAAGATCAGCTATAGATCCTAATAATTAAATAAAAAGAAGAAAGAATGAGTAAAGGGCAAATGAGGAGATACAGTAAGAATGAGAGGGAAAGCATATGTTAGAGGTATGAGAGGAAATGGAGAAAATACTATAAAATAAGTGCTGAAAAATAAGTCTTAAAAGCCCACTCAGTCAAGTTAAAAGTTAAAACACAATCATTAATTAAAATGTAAAACTGAAAATTAAGAAAAACAAAAATATGAAATAAAATAGTATGTCATCAGTTAATATTTCTTCTTTGGTGAAACTTGACCCTGCCTCCTGAATGCTGAGATGAAAGTTGCCATGCCACCACGCCCACCCTTGAGATAAGAAAGCAACCACAAATGGGGGAGGAGGGACCTGGGAGGGAAAAGGAATTGGGGGGGGGACAGAGAGGGGAATATGATCTTGTATTGGGGTGGGGGAACAGGACTAAAATACCTGAGGGCCAGCAGAAAGAATGGAAACATGCAACCTCGGGAGGTAGGAGGCGGAAGGGGGGGACCCTACAGAATGTACCAGAGACCTGGGAGGTGAGAGACTCTCAGGACTCAAAGGGAGGGACCTTAGATCAAATGCCCTACATTGGGGAGAGGGAATTTGTAGAGCCCACCTACAGCAGAAAGACAGGGCATCAAGTGAGGGATGGGGTTCCCATCCCACAGTCAAAACTCTGACCCATAATTGTTCCTGTTTGAAAGAACTGAAGGGATGGAAATGGAGAGGAGCCTGAGGAAAAGAAGGTCCAGTGACAGGCTCAAAGTGGGATCCAGCTCAAGGAGAGATCCCAAGGCCTGACACTATTACTGAGGCTATGGAACCCTTACAAAAAGGGACCTATCATGACTGCCCTCCTGAAAGACCCAACAAGCAGCTGAAAGAGTCAGATGCAGATATTTGCACCCAACCAATGGACAGAAGCTGCTGACTCCTGTCGTTGAATTAGGGGAAAGCTGGAAGAAGCTGAGGAGGAGGATCAGCAGTCTCAATTAACCTGGACCCCTGAGATCTCAGATACTGGACCACCAATCAGGCAGCATACACCAGTGGATATGAGGCCCCCTACAACATATACAGCAGAGGACTGCCGGGTCTGGGTTTAGTCAGAGAAGATGCACCTAATACTCAAGAGACTGGAGGCCCCAGGGAGTTTAGAGGTCTGGTGGGGTGGGGGTAGGGGTAGGGACATCCTCGTGGAGATAGGGGAGTGGGGAGGAGGTGTGGAATGTGGAACAGTTGGAGGGTGGACCAGGAGGGGAATAAAATCTGGAGTTCTAAATAAATAAATAAATAAATAAATAATTTTTAAAAATTTAAAGAAAATTGTAGGACCAAGTATAAATACTAAAACTCAGAAAGGAACTACATTAAATGAAAGCTTACTTGCTTCACATTACTTGCATACTGGATAGAAACAAAGAGGACCTAATAAATAGAAACTATCAAAATTGAATAATAGAAAAAATATGAAAAATGGTAACAAAGTTGAAGAAAATGGAATATAAAAGAAATATTAATAGCAAACAAAAATTCTAATGCAGATTCAGAGTCCCAGAAAGAAAAAAAAATTATCCACAAAGAAAACCACAGACTCCCTTTGGATTCTCTAGTAAATTCTGCTAAACATTGAAGGAAGAAATATGGGTGCTGAAGAGATAGATCAGTGATTTAATAGCACTGGCTTCCCTTTCAGAAGACCCACATGGCAGCTCACAGTCATCTACTTCAGACCTATAGGATTTGATGCCCTCTTTGGGCCACTATGGATGCTGCATACATGTGAACACAAAAATACATACAGATAAAATACCAATACATATACAATCAAAATAAATAAAATCTCAAAAAAAACTAAGGAAGAAACATTACCAATATTCTGCATAAGTTTTTAATAGAACTAGAGTGATAACACTTAATAATTTATTTTGTAAAATCAACGAAAATTTGATAAAATACCTGGTAAACATATGCCTTACATATCTCCCATGTTACACATACATTCATGCAGGTAGAATATTCATGCACATAAAATAAATACGTAAATCTAATATATATAATTGTTGAATAATATAAGAAGCCAAAATACAAGTTACAAAGTTTAGAATGGAAGATATAAATCTGTTATTGTTCATAGTTGTTATTCCTCATATAGGAAATCCTAAGAAATCTCCAAAATAGTTACTGGTACAAAAAAAATGATTGTAGCAAGGTCAAAATACAAAAATCTGTTGTGTTTTATGTATACTAACAACTACAAAGTTAAATTCCTAAATTCTCTCATAGTATCTCAAAAACTATTTAGGAATTAATTTAGTAAAAGTTGTGAGGGCTCCTAAGTCTAAGATAGAAGAGGCGTATCTGGTGAAGGTCTTATTGTTCTGTCATCACAAGGCAGAAGACATTATATAATGAAAAACCAATGAGAGAAATGGAAAGGGGGCAAAATTTCCCATTTTGTAAATAATCCAAATAATAATCCATTTTGTATTGGTTACTTTTCTCACTGTGACAAAATATCTGACAAAACAACTTTTAAAAGGAAAGATTTATTTTGGCTAATGGTTTAAGGTGATATATCCCATCATGATAGGGAAGGCCCAGCAACAGAAGCATCTATAGCTTTGGTGGCAGAAATAAGCAAGCAGAGATGAATTCTGGTGCTCATCAGGCTTTCTCTTTCTTTTCCTTTTATTCAGTCTGGGTATCCAGCCCAAGTTTAGTGTGAGTACTTTCTCTTCAATTAAACCTTTCTGGAAATGTCCTCGCAAGCATGTCTAAAAGTATGTCTCCTAGGTCATTAAATGTATATATCTCAAATATATTAATATCTGTTGGGTAAAATAAGAGTGAATGAATTTACAACTGCTTAAGAGTGAATTTTATGTTGTGCGATATATTTGAGTAAAAATTGAGCATTAGACTATGAGTTAGAATTTTTTTTTAAAGAGACAGAAAATATTTAACTCTTCAGAGATCACATATTAACTTCATCTGTATTCCTTGTTTATGTTTTCAACATATACATACATATATATATACACACGTATATACATATATATTCATATATATTCACACACACACAATATATGTGTGTGTGCGTGTGTGTGTGTGTATGTGTATGATGTTCCATTCCTCATTTATGGGACTCATCATACATAATACCTCTTTGAAGCAAGGTAAAAAATGAGAACAGTGAAGGAAATAAATATAAGCCGTAACTAAATCAGTAGAGGCCCTTCATCATTCTTCTTTTTGCTCTTACCCACAAAAGCTTAAGAAATTTAACTTTAGTCACGAGCTGCATAGCCTTTTATGTCAGAATGTTAAAAAAAATCACTAAATTCTTTTGAGTCTCCATATCAGCATAAAATTCAGTCCGTACTATCAAACAAACATGTAAATATATGTGTATATGAATATACAGAAGTCCACTCAAAACTAGCATTTTGTGTTTAGTAACTTTAGTACATATTTGTCAGATCACTAAATAGGTTCACATCAATAGCCATATAGACTTCTCTTGGTTATATGATGTGACAGCTATTCTTGGTTATGAACTTGACTATATCTGGAATGGACAACAATCCAGAAATGTGATTATCTGTGAGAGATATTCTGTTTGATTTGAAGTAGGTGAATCCACTTCTACTCTGGACCTTTGAGAAAGGAAGACACACCTCCAATCTAGGTCTGGGCCACACCTTCTACTGGAATCCTATATGAAGACAAGAAAGAAGGAATAGATAGATAGATAGATAGACAGACAGACAGACAGATAGTCATTCCATAAGTTCTGTGACTCTAGATATCCCTGACTAATACACATGGCTTTCTCTCTCTCTTTCCATATAACAAACTAATAACTTTTAAAATAAATTTTCTATCTGGTTTGTCTAATTGAGATCATTAAACCTGTTGTTTTTCAGTGTTCCTATGGCCTCATTGTTATATCATTACTCTACTCTCTCTTGTATTCTAGGATGTGGTACCATAAGTTGTTGTACTTGTTATATCATTACTCTACTCTCTCTTGTATTCTAGGATGTGGTACCATAAGTTGTTGTACCAACAAAGCAGGCTCCAGAACTTGATGAAGAGAGGAGACATAGCTCAAGGTCTTCATCTGTCCAACTTTAAAAGTTTATTTTCATTATCCATCTATTGGTGCCATACAGCTTCCAAATCTGTGGATTGTACTTGGCACCAACATGAAGATCATTTGGGTAAGAGATGTGTGAGGAAATATTTTTTTAATTGTGGTAAAAATAGATGACATAAAATATACCCTATCAACCATTTAAATATACAGCTCAATAGCATTAAATATGTTCATTTTGCTGTACAACAAAAAATTTTCTGTAGTCTGATCATGTTTCCAGTAGAGTTGGAATGGTATCTGGAGACTTATCTCCAAAACTATTGTAGAAATCACAAGAATAACAAAACACCAGACAACATTAAAATCCCAACTTAGGGATAACTCTATAGTTCTCCAGCCAAACCCCTTACCCTGTATCAGTCAAAAAAAGAAAGCCACAATATCCACAGGAAGGTGTTTAAAGCATATAGACCAGGAATATTACAACCTTAGACGGTATTACAAGGTGAAGGGTAGACATAGCTTTACCCCTTGTATTGATTCCTAAGGTTCCTGGAGGAATTTCAAAGTGTCAATTCTGAGTGTTTGTGAGAAAACTCCGAGAATACAAGAGTCTTATAGCCTCAGTTTCTTCCAAAGTATGCAGTTTGTTCTTGGAATTTGCTTTCTTGCCCCTCCTAGGTATAGTGGATAGGAATGAGTTTACTACAGACTTTGTGCCTCTATGGAAAAACATGTTTTGCCACATGCAGCATGTCCTTGTGATTGTATACTTTGGTAACTCTTCTTAATGTTCTCTTAGTTGCCAGCACTTTTTGGCTTGTTTCTTTGTTTCCTTGTATCACTTCTATCCTGGTTTCCATCATCACATATCCCTCTACATTGTTTTGAAGTCAGCCTCTCTGTATAGAGATCGAAATCATATCTTTTTAAGCTTAATTTTATGTGCAGTGACTGTTGATCTTCCAGTAATACATTTATTCTGTCTTATCAAGTTTCTTTCATCAATGCTTTGTAGTTTTGAATATACCAGTGCTACATTGTTGTTTAAATTCATTACTAAGTATTTTATTTTATTTTGAGAAGTAATATAAAAAGAAAATTTTTCTTGATTTTTTTTTGCAGTTAATTTTTTAGAGTATTTTTAAATTACTTTTTTGCTCATTCATTTTACATCCCACTCGCTGCCCCCCTCCTGACCACCCCCTCCCACAATGCTTTCTCTCTTCCCCCCTTCCTTTCTCCTTATAGCAGGTGGGGACCCCCTAAGGTATCCCTTCACCCTGGCACTTCAAGTCTCTGCAAGGCTAAGCACTTCCTCTCCCACTGAGGCCAGAAAAGGCAGCCCAGCAAGAAGACCATATCCCAGATACAGGCAAGAACTTTTGGGATAGCCCCCGCTCCAGTTGTTTGGGACCACATGAAGACCAAAATGCACATCTGCTACATATGTGTGGAGAGGTCTAGTTCCAGCCTGTGTATGTTCTTTAGTTGGTGGTTCAGACTCTGAGAGCCCCAAGGGACCAGGTTAGTTGACTGCTGGTCTTCCTATGGAGTTTCTATCCCCTCCTGGGCCTGCAATCCTTCCTCCTATTCTCCCATAGGAGTCCCCAAGCTCCATTCACTGTTTGGCTATCTATATCTGTCTGAGTCAGCTGCTGGGTGGAGCCTCTCATAGTAAAGCCATGCTAGACTCCTGTCTGCAAACATAAGAGTATCATTTATAGTGTCAGAGATTGGTGCTTGCTCATGGGATGGATCTCAAGTTGGACTAGTTATTGATTGGCCATTCGCTCAGTCTCTGCTCCATCTCTGTGCCTGCATTTCTTGTAGACAGGATACATTTGGAGTTGAAAGTTGTGTGGGTGGGTTGGTGTCCATTTTGTTCAACTGGGGTTCTTGCCTGCTACAGGAGGTGGCCGCTTCAGGCTCCATATCCTCAGTGTCACAGCTGAGGACACCTCCACTGATTCTTGGGTTCCTCCCTTATCCCAGTTCTCTCTCTTGTTCCAGTTTTATATTGAGATCCTTGATCCAGATGGACCTGAGTTTCATGCAGAGTGATAAATATGGATCTATTTTCATTCTTCTACATGTAGACATCCAGTTAGACCAGCACCATTTGGAGAAGATGCTTTCTTTCTTTCATCTTTTTTCAGATTTTTAAATTTATCAATTTTTTTCATTTTTTTATTTGATATTTTCTTTATTGACATTTCAAATGTTATCCCTTTCCCAATTCCCCCTGAAGCCCCCATCCAATCCCCCCTCCACTGCTTCTATAAGGGTGTTACCCCACCCACCCACTCCAACTTCCCCACCCTCAAATTCCCCTTCACTGGGACATCTAGCCTCCACAGGACCAAGGACCTCTCCTCCCATTGATGCCCAACAAGGCCATCCTCTGCTAAATATGCAGCTGGAGCCATGGAACCCTCCATGTGTATTCCTTGGTTGGTGGTTTAATCCCTGGGAGGTCTAGGGGAGTCTGGTTAGTTGATATTGTTGTTCTTCCTATGGGGTTGCAAACCCCTTCAACTCCTTCAGTCCTTTCTCTAACTCTTCCATTTGGGACCCCATTGGGACCCTGTGCTCAGGCCAATGGTTGGCTGCAAGCATATGCCTCTGTATTTATCAGTCTTTGGCAGAGCCTCTTAGGAGACAGCTATATCAGGCTCCTGTCACCATTCACTTCTTGGCAGCCATAATAGTGTCTAGGTTTGGTGACTGTATATGGGATAGATGCCCAGGTGGAGCAGTCTTTGCATGGCCTTTCCGTCAGTCTCTGCTCCACACTTTGTCTCTGTATTTCCTCCCATGAGTATTTTGTTCCCCTTCATAAGAAGAACCGAAGCACCCACACTTTGGTCTTCCTTCTTCTTGAACTTCATGTGGTCTGTGAATTGTGTCTTGGATAGTCCAAGCATTTAAGCTAATATCCATTTATCAGTGAGTACATACCATGGGTGTTCTTTCTACTTCCATCCATCTGCCTAAGAATTTCATGAAGTCATTGTTTTTAATAGCTGAGTAATAGTCCATTGTGTAAATGTACCATATTTTCTGTATCCATTCCTCTGTTGAAGGACATCTGGCTTCTTTCCAGCTTCTGGCTATTATAAATAAGGCTGCTATGAACATAGTGGAGCATGTGTCCTTGTTATATGTTGGAGCATCTTCTGGGTATATGCCCAGGAGTAGTATAGCTGGGTCCTCAGGTAGCACTATGTTCAATTTTCTGAGGAACCACCAGACTGATTTCCAAAATCGTTGTATCAACTTGCAATCCCACCAACAATGGAGGAGTGTTCCTCTTTCTCCACATCCTCACCAGCATCTGCTGTCACCTGAGTTTTTAATCTTAGCCATTCTGACCCATTCTGCTAGTTATAAGGTGGAATCTTAGTGTCATTTTGTTTTCCATTTCCCTGATGACTAAGAACATTGAACATTTCTTCAAGTGCTTTTAAGACTTGAGATTTGAGATTCCTTTGATGAGAATTCTATTTAGTTCTATACCCCATTTTTCAATGAGTTATTTGGTTTGTTGGTATCTAACTTCTTGATTTCTTTAAATATTTTAGATATTATCCCTTTGTCAGATGTAAGGTTGGTTAAAATCTTTTCACAATATTTGGCTGTTGTTTTGTTCTAATGACAGTGTCCTTTGACTTACAGAAGCTTTTCAGTTCCCTGAGATCCCATTCATCAATTGTTGATCTTATTGCCTGAACCATTGGTGTTCTGTTCGGGAAATTGTCTCCTATACTGACAAGTTCAGAGCTATTCCTCACTTTCTGTTCTAATTAGATTTATTATATCTGGTTGCTGCCTCTGCCTACTGCCAACCTCGCAGTTTCATATCACAATACTCAGTAACCCAGTAGAATCATAACTTTTAATTTTTTTTCCTTTTTTTATTAGATATTTTATTTATTCACATTTCAGATGTCATCCCCTTTCCCCATTTCTCCTTCCTCGAACCTCATATCCTATCCCCCCTCCTCCTTTTTGCTTTTATACCATCTTAATTACATGCAAGTATTAAGGTCAGTTCTAGGTTGAGAGTCTAACAATACAATAGATGCAAATAGTCAAGGAACAAGCAAGACAATAAACACAAACAGTCAAAGAACAAACAAGGCATTAAACACAATTCTGTGAACACTCCTGTGATTACTGTTTCTAAAGGCTTATCAGGATGACAAAAATATCTGAGACAACTTCCCAGTCCTAGCCCAAAGTCATTTTCATGTCCGAAGCCTACTTGCTTGTTCTAGCCTAAAATTTAGATTCCTATCTGAAAGTACTTCTTTTTCTAGCCTAAGATTTAGATTCCTGCCTGAAATTACTTCTTTGTTCTAATATCAGATTCCTGCCTGAAGCCTACTTCCTTGTTCTTGGCCAATGTCATATTCCTGCCGAACAGTCCATTTCCTTGTCCTTGGCCAATGTCAGATTCTTGTCAAGCAGTCCCCAAAGCGCTCTACCTCTCCCCCTTTTTTATTTCATTAACAAGACTGAGCCTGTCTTAGCTCATTCTATTAAGAATACCTTCCTTACCCATTGTGGAATATACATTATCAAAAGCAATGCCCTTCTGTCTTAGGTTGGTAAAGGTCTGTGCAGAATCTTACTCATCCTTGGTTTGTCAGCCTGTTAATTTAATAACTCTGTCTGGGGGTCTATTTTGAGGTTCAAGCCATGTACTTTGGCTGCCAACATGTTGATGTTGTTCAAGACAAGCTTTAACATGATGGGCAGGAATAAAAGTATTCCCAGGACAAAAAGGGCTAGTATGATCAAGCTATATAGGCCATTCTTGAACCTTGACCAAAATAGAAATACTGACCTCAGGCAATGAATAATCTTATCAGCAGTATCTACCACATCAATGCTCAGCAGAGCAGCATTCTTTAAATTCATAAGCTCCCTATGTAAAGTTAAAACATCCAGAGAGGTGTTAGAATTATGCCAAGTGTCTTTAAACTTCTTCGTAATTATAATGACTACCACTGTAAATTTTAGAACTAACATGAATCCAGTGGTATTTGGCATGACACTCAAGATGGCTCCCTACCCTTTTTTTTAAATTTTTATTGGATGTTTTATTTACATTTCCTATGTTGTCCCCTTACCCCATCCCCCACCCTCCCAGGAACCCCCAATCCCCTCACCCCTCCTCCTTCTTCTCTGTGGATGTAACCTCTATCTACCCCCCCACT